GCTGGCAAAGGTTTAATTGGGAAAGTAACAGGTGGCTCTGATCAAGGTGGTTACTGTGCAGAAAATCCTCTTGGTGATACTGTAAGTGCTGGCACTGGAAGGTGTATGTGCTGTGGATGGGAAGGGAATGGGAAGGGAATGGGTAGGGAATTCTATTGGCGTGCCATAAATGACGGGCGGGTGGTGTGGGGTTGGGATGTTCCAATGCGAGCTTATAACCAACATTTTTACTTCTTAAATGCGGGTAAATAAATATATACCTTATACCTCATATTATTCTGAGTGAATATACCAAATAAATAATCATAAAAAGTATAATAATTTATATCTATAATCATAAGTCAGTCATTAAATTAATAAAATTGAAAAATTAATTATTTCTTAACCAAACAAACATAAATAATAGATATTTTAAAATTAAATATTGAAATAATTAAATACCTTGGTCAGTTAATCCTTATATAATCAAAATGATCATCAAAACTTTAATATTCATATTTATTTTGAATAGAGAGTGGTTTCAAAAGTTATATCAAAAGTGGTAACAAAATGGTATCAAAATTAATTTTTTATGAAAAAGTAATGAATGAAATTAATTTTATTTAAAATTAATTAAAAATTTAGCAAATATGTTTACATGCTAGTACAGCAAAATTGCAAAATACAAAATGACCAAAAATTAATTAGTTACGACCTCTACATACTTCCTATCCTTGACTATACTCTACACGAGTCATCCACAGCACATACACCTTCCAGTCATACCTGTCTCACGTACAGTACACTCCAGAACATTCCTTTGAGTCGTACTGTACTCACCTATCCTCACAATTAGCTCACTAATGTCTATTAAAGATATGGTTCTCTATGTCATAAAATAAGTGTGTTTAGCTCTCATACAGAGCAATATATCTCATGTAAACCCTACCATACATTCAGTTGTTATAATAAAATGTCGTTTTAATCATTAAGTGGTATTCATTATGTGTCCACAACTGGAATCGCTTAGTAGACGTCGTATGAAGGACCTCATGTCCAGCATTGGCGACAAGCCTGGCGTCCAGACACTTGATCCTACGCCGCACTCAAGTGGCCCGACGTCAGACTGGACTAGAAGTCGGTTTCTTGGCGCAGTCGGCAGGATCCACGGGAACGACACCTTATTGGCAACAACTCACACATCGGGGAACACAACACAAATGGCAACAAAAGACCCAAAGATCGAGAAGTTTTCCGGCGATGACTCCACTGATGTCAACGACTGGTTGGCGAGACTTGAGCTCCGGTTCCTCAATCGGAACATCACAACAGATAAACTCAAGCTCTCGAAGACTGCATCTTTAGTTACCGGCGAAGCCTTTCGCTTCTTTGCCTCAACGGTAGCGCCCATCAGGTCGACCATCATGTGGGAGGACTTCCACCAACGCTTCACACAACGCTTCCGATCTCTTGAGCCCAACCCTTGCGCTCAGCCTATGAGACACACAATGCCTGACATCTCATCACAACACGTGGTCAAGAACTGCGATGTCGTCTCGTCCGGTACAGTCAGAACTCCCTGCGCAGGCATACCAAAGAAACAGCCTATTTGTAGCCATTGCTTCAGCATTGGCATCAGCGCTCGCCATCCACTCCAGGACTAGGGTTCCCAAATCTCCAGGTTCAAGCAGGACTCTCAAGGAATCGGTGGTATGCTCAAGGAAATATTTTCAAAAGATATAACAATTTCAATGGACCTCAAGGAAATTTATGATCACTTTTTAAAAGATCGTGGAAATTAAGGACATTTTTGCGACCAAAATAAGGATTCTCAAGGAATTTGATTTTTGGATTTGGGAACACTATCCAGGACTGCCCGGTCGGAAAATGTTAATTTTATTTTAGCATTATTACTTCTTTGGCTAGAATTGAAAATTTTGTCTTAAAAATATTTATTTTACACACATATAGTAATTACCTTGACATAAATGTACAAATTAAATAACTATTCATAAATCACACGGAAAAATTTCTCATTATGTGGACTTTGGTTATTTTATGTTGTACACCTACACACAAATTATATATTACTAACTTTTTTGAAAAACGTATTTTGTACACTGACCCATTTTTATCATATTTAATATAGGAGTGGAGTTCAACTGACCTGGATAAGATGAATAACACGGCTGTTGTATCTATTAGATACTTGTCTACCGAGCATACTATCAACAGCTATTCACCTATATTCGTCATATTGGACATGGTATGTTACGTGGGTGGGTTAATATCCATGTACACGGACATGTCTTTGATCGCGGTTTACGACTATTGTATTATATCCTTGCTTATTATTAAGAAAACTTATATTTAATCAACGATATATTAAAATTCTCACCAAGTAACTACTACTACCGGTATAATTAATCATGCACAAGCTATTGAATTAGTCTAGACTAAACATATTTGTTTTATATAAACAATATAATATATCAAACACATATTTTTGTTAATTGTTTTAAGTGCATTCGTGTCGTAATCAATTTAATTTATATGACACTTACATCCTGGTCTACAATGAATAATAACCTTGTTATTGTTTTATATTATAATTAATTTATAAATTATATGTTTGAGCATTTTTATTATAAATTATCGCATTTAATATGAAATATAATACTGTATTAAATATGTTCATATAGTTCGTATGCCCACAAAATGAACTTGACATAAGTTATATCAGATTTATTATCAATGGCAAATTTTCTTTTTTAAAAATTCATTTATTATTAAATAATTTTAGCTTTCACATACACACTTGTAACTTAATAATTAATTTAAGTAAAGGCATCTTTATTTAATCAATAAAAAATATTTCCGCTTAAATATAACTATAAAAGGAACGGTAGTTTTGTGATTTAAATTCATTGTTCACTGACAGTGTATACATTAAAACTATGTATAAGTATAAATTTATTGTATTAGTAGCAACCCTAGTTCTATGCCAGGGGGCAGTAGTTCAGCGCCGTTTCATTAGTTTAGATTTATTAGCCGGTGGCCTAATAGCTAACGGTATGTACACAATATTTATCATTCAACATAAATATAAAAAGTATCACGATCAAAAATAATTATTAATATTTACTTAAATTACAGGCGCTATACATGCCGGTGCTGCTGCGGTACATGAACTTAGCGCTGACAATCATGGAGGTGCCAATGGTAGCGCTTACGGTGACACCGGTGCTACTGGTGGTGGTGCTGGTGGGCTAAGTGGCATCGGTAGTGCCATCGGTAATGGTATCGGCACTGGTATCGGTGTCGGAGCGAGTAAACTGACTGGTGATGTGACAGGTGTTTTAAACGGAAATGAAAGTTTGATTGACCATGCTGTTAATTATGTTGCTGGGGGTGGGGTCAGTGGTGCTATCGGTACTGCCGTGGGTAGTGGTGTCGGCGCCGGATTGAGGGAAACGATGGGTGGCGTGAAGAGTGCGTTAGGCGGTGATAACACTATGTTAGGCAAAGCTACCGGTGCTGTTACGGGAGTGATTGGACAGGGTGCCGCAGTTGGTGATAAAGTTTTGAATACAGGTCCTATTGGGAGTCTAATAAATGGTGACCTTGTTAAAGGTTTGTTAATTTAAGTAATATACTATTGTATACATTTATCATAGTGAATAACAAATAAAATTAAATGAGCTAGATAAATTTTAATTATGGCTATTGCATTATATTACATATTATTAATTATTCATATACTTTATTATATATTTTAATTCTTTGTAATATTTAATCTAGGTGTCTACGGTGCCGGAAAAGATTTACTTGGAAAAGGCACTGGATCAGGTTCATATGGTGGTCCAACCGGTAGTGTTTTTGGTGGAAATGGGGGTCCATTAAACTTTGGCTTTAAATAAATGACCATGTACTAATCAGAATTTAACTTGTTAAGTTTATGGTGCAATTAAAATTAAAAATAGTAGTTTATATAATGGTAGTTGATCAT